ATTGTCATTAAAAACTTAACACGTTTAGTACTTAAACTATCAATTTTTGTCCATTTTAGTGTATAAATTTTTTATTTTTTAAAAAATTTAACGTTAAAAATTTTGAACAGTGGAACTAAAGTGAAAAAAACTAAACTTTAGATATGATTTTGAAAAAAAAAATTAAAAGTAAGGTTTTAAAATGGGTCAAAACTGATAGTTTAAGTATTAAATTCGTAATTTACCCTTATATTTATTAAGCGCTTGATGTTAAATTTATGGCGTTTCTACCTAAAAATCATCCTAACAACGAAATATTACCTGTCAGTCACATTTTCTTCAAATATTATCGAATTAGCACAATTTCTGACAAAGTGCGGATCATGAAGCGTGTCTTCATGGGGTTCTATCCTAGTTGGCGCCACGGTGGAAAGGCGCAGATCATGAAGCATGCTTTCGCGACGATCTGTCCGAGTGGTGCCACGTTGGAAGGCACATATCATGAAACGCGCCTTCGCGAGGAAATCTGACACGAATGCGTGTATCATGAAGCGCACCTTTCATTATTACTCGAGCCTTAAATCTCAGCTATTGACCCATCACATCCCCTATAAATACCCCCGAATGCAAACATCAAACCACTCTAAAATTACTTTCACATTCTTCCTTCTATCAAGCTAAGTAGATTTTGATATAGTTTTTAGAAGCTAAAATTATTTTTATTATATTATATTATATTTATTTTATATTTAATTATTTGGCCAAACTTTATTGTACGAATTATTTTCTATTATTTTTGCAGTTGTAAAATGGAAGGTGTGATCATATCTCGAGATATTTTATCGATAAGGTAATAATATTAACTTGTGTTATTTAAATTATTATGATTTTTTTAAATTTTTTAGTATTATTTTATATTTTAATTCGTATACTATTTATTTAATTAGGTTTATTTCAGTTTTTTTTGTAAATATAGGACTCTTATTCTTTCAAACTCCCAAACTCTCAAAATGAGGCGTATTCAACTATTGTTTACTATGATAGAGAAATTCGGGAAGATGAAACCGGCGTTGTATTCGCATCAAATCATTCTGTCAGAATATCCTTCAAGAGAAACATCACTCTTGAAGAGATGATCACTAAAATTTCAAGGAAAGGTTCATGTTGAAAGTATTAGAAGATTGTCTTTACTTCAGTACAGATTTCCAACTGCACTATTTCCGTTAACTTATACAACGTTCGAACTCTCCAATGATGACGATGTTGCTATGATGGTTGATGCTTGGAATCAAAATTCAAACGCTGATACACAAATGTATGCCATATATTTTGAAATGTTTGCGGTTCGTGGTATGCCGTTATGCTTCCATATAGGATGACTCAACAAGTTGATCAAGTTGACAACACAACTCAAGTAATGTGTAAGAATTTTAACTCGTTAATAGGAAATTCACATACGATACAATCCCATCAAGTTCAATGTGGAGACATTCATCATCAACTTATTACGATCTCCATTAAGGTGGCTCCATGAACAATCCGTATGGCAACATCGCTTCCAATTCAAGGGGAAGGAATTCATCTGCCATTTCTTTTACCTAAATATGGAGATGCCCTCGACACATCAATCTGTTCAGTACCCATTTGACACGATACCTTCAAGTTCCAGGGGAGGCATTCAACTGCGAGCTTCTTCGACCTCAATGTAGAGATGCCTGCGACACAACACTCAGTTCAAAACTTGTATGACACGATGCCTTCAAGTTCAAGGGGAATGCATTCAACTACCAGCTTATTTGACCTAAATATCGATATCATAGAGGAACCCTCATTTCCACCAGAAGAACATCTTCCTGAGCCAGTACGGATGGCAAAATCGTAGAACCCCAACTGAATGAGCTGACAACTCAAAAATCTGCAAGGTGACGCAACCACATACAATGAACTTGGTTGCGAGATTTATCGGGCATCAAGATCCCTTCTATGAGTTGTAATATGCAAACCCGGACAAATATTTTAGCATGTTCCTCGGAACAGTCTTCGCTCAATTGTAAAAAAATTGTAGCCAACCATGATAATTATATTCAACCACCTTTGAAATTAGGTGGGATACCTCCAAGATACTCCTCGCATAATGAATGTCAATCAATATTCGCCACACCAGAAATAACATCTACATTTACAGAAATCCCCAAATGTATGAAAACATCCTCCAGTGTAATAGTACACTCCCCACATGGAAGATGGAATGTGTGTATCTCTGGTCTCTATCTCTCAATCAGTGCAGAAATAAGGTTGGATTCAAGGTTGCAATGCCCTTAATATTTTGCTATGTCACTGAATCCAGCCAAGGCTAAGTACAGCCGAACACGACTCGATATCTCCAACTTAACGTTACGAATAAATGTATTTAATATAGGGTCGTTCACCAAATTAAATAAATAGTATACAAATTAAAATATAAACTAATACTAAAAAAATAACTAAATAAAAAATTCATAATAAATAAAATAAAAAAGTTTAAAATTATTATCGTATCAACAAAATGACTCGAGATATGATTGTCATATAAACACAAAAACCCACATGTTGTTTTATAACTGCAAAAGTAATAAAAAAATTAGTACAATAAAATATAATATAATAATAAACTATTAAATGATTATAATATAATAAAAAATTAGCTTCTAAAAATGATAGCTATACCTTCTTAAAACTTGATAGAATGATAAATAAAAGGAAGAAATATAATATTTTCGTTTGTGGTGTGAGTGTTGAAAGGGAGGGGGAGGCGGACGAACGGTTGGGCGGTATTTATGACGAACTGTTGGATTTAAATGAGATATGCGCCTTTTGCCAGCATGGATAGAACCCTGCAAAGGCGCGCTTCATGACCTACGCTTTGTCAGAAAAAATGTTAGATCAATAATATTTGGAGAAAGGGTACCTGACAAGTAATATTTCGTTATTAGGGTGATTTTTAGATAAAAAAGCCTAAATTTAGAGATAATTATCTTGTTTGTGTCAACATGTAGTATATGCGTATCGTGTGTTTTATACTTCATCATTTTAACTTTTTTATTAAATTTTAATGGCCATAAAGATGAAGAAAAATTAAGATTAAAATAATTATTTTTAAAAATTCAGAAATAAAAAATATCATTGAAGTTTTATAATATTGTTTTTATGATTACAATTTGGATAATGTTTAGCGATATTAAATTCAAACACTATAGAATCAATTGCTTTCCTTTCCCCACAAGAGAAATGTTGGATTAAATGACTTTATTGACAAAAACACGCCTTTACTGCCGAAATTCATAATCACAAAGCAAGAAATCAAAAACAATAACACGCAACTTTTTTCTAAAAAAAAATTCAATTCTATCTATATGTACGTAATATTTCGTACATATTGGCCAACGACTTGCCAACTACTGTTGAAACAATTGGTTAGAACTTAAGAATTTAAGCTTATAAGATTAAGTTTAAATCTTATCACCATTATTCTTAATGAGTATTTTATAAGTTCTTATATAAATACTAATTAGATTTTATATATGACACGATCCTGCACTAGGGAACCATCTCTAATCTAAATTTTTACGCATTAAAAAAATTTGTACACATATGGTAACATAAATAAAATATTTTTTTTTATATTTTATTAGATCTAGACATGTTCAAAAATGAATTAGTTCAAATCGAATCACAATCTAATTTTAAAATAAAAATTTAAATCCAAACTTAAATTTGATTGGATGTATTCAAAATCGAATTATTATGTGAAAATTGAGTTTTGATGAAAAATAATGTCAAGTCATCCGATACAACCAGTTACTCTTTAACAGCGGTAGATGCCCATTTCGTCTAATAGAAACTATAGTTCCGTTGTTTTTTCAACTAATCGCTTTTCAACACACCAACCAGTCCAGTGCCTCATGATTCTTATGAATTCTTGGGGTGCAAAATCCCGTGAAATTCAACTTTAAAAATTGAAATCCAATCCAATTTAGATAAACCAGCTGTGCTTTGCCATTCTTCGTTTGGTAACTCATCACTCTCCCCCCCCCCCCCTCGCAAGCCGTTTATTTCATGACCACCCCACATTTTCCCATTTAAGCTAATGCTTGTTTAAATCCAACGATAGGATATTTTAACATTATTATAGTCTATTTTTATGGGGTATTTCTGAACTTTTATATCAATTCGTGTGCATAATCTAATATGATATATTTGATTGTTTGTACCGGTAATATAAGTAACTGTATCTGTTCGTGTGTGTAATCTAATATGATATACTCAATCGTTAGCACATGTTATATATGTAATTGTATTCGAATCTCGTATCTATCCGAATAAATAGATAAAGATAACAACCTACTACCTTAACTACAAGTTACTCACACATGATGATCATGAGCTATGTTTTGTTACTCACACATGATGATCATGAGTTACGTTTTTTTGTCTTTTTTTGAAGGTTGGGTTTTGTTGTTATGAAGAAAAGGAAAAGGAAAATCACAATCCTAGAATCTCTTTTTCTCCTCTACATGGCCCATGGTTGCCAACCAAAACCATATAGAGAGAGAAAGACGAGCATTGAACAAAAAGATAAACACTTCAAATATTTCCTTTTCCTATCAATTTCAATCTTTTGTACCTTCCAAAAAGCAAATAGCAGCTAAACGCCAAATCTCCCATCATCCATCTCCTTAATTAATTAACACACAAAAGGTGGTGAATTATGAGTACATCTCCTCATGGTTTAATTTCTATTTATGATCATCTTGTCCATGTGATCCAAACTTAATTGCCCTTGGGTATATATATTAATGATGTATTAGGAATAGGTAGGGTAATTGGGGAAGAATATTATCTTTAAAGGGATAGTCCGATGAACAGAAGAAGATCTTAAAAGATAAATCCACTTACAAAAAACAAAATCCAACGACCTAACATTATATATTATAAAAACAAAAAACAGAGGATATTCATGTTCTTCTAGCTTACACCAAAATACCCATATCTTTTCATTCCCTCTTTTACTCATGTCCCCAAGATTTAAAAGAAAATTAAAAAATATATATATATACCCATCAGATTTTGCCTTTAGACTTCAGAATTCCCTGGGGTCTACAAATATGGAAAATCCAGGTGGTGATTTAGTCCAGTCACCGACATACCCGTCACTGTAGTCTTCCCCAAGCCGTTTGATGCACCATAAATCTTCATTGCACGATAGCATCTTCCAATGTGGGACCCCGACTTTCAACGGCTCACGATTCGCCACCTCCGTCGCCACTACACTGCACCCTCCTTCTTTGGCCAAGTTATGCGCGTGTGCACACAACGCATTAACCAATTTGGCCGCGGATGGCCCTTCCCCTCCCAACCCGTACAGGAAATGCAAACCGAACGGCCTAAAAACCTCCGGAATCGACGGTAACCTCAAAAACGGCAGCAACTTGTCCACAATCCTGGTCGTTTTGGCCAACGTTTTCCTCATCCTCGACGCGCCACGAACTTCCAACCTGAACACGTCCTTGCAGTTCCAAACACTCAAAACCGCCCACGACTCTGGGGGTTCGGATAAAAACTTATCCGACCCGGGCCACGATCCTTGAGTGTAACAACATCCACGTGGCACAGCCAGGAAAGTCCCCAGGCTAAGCCTATTACTGAGCACCGAATCAATGTCGCGAGGGAAGAACTCGGTGGTGGAGAAACGACGGCGATAGAGCGACTCAGCGTCGGACGGGGAGAGTTTGATGAGGGTGACACGGTTGGAAACGGGGAGCCGGTGAGCGAAAACGGGGTTAACCAAAACCGAAGGAGTACGGAACTTGGAGTAACCGCATTTATCAGTGAAGAGATTAACGGAAGCTTGATTGTCGTTTTCCGTTGCCAAGTAAGAATATTCAACGCCGTTTTGAACAAACCAGTCCTCCATTCTTCGTACGAGCTTTAAACCGATTCCCATTCTCCTGAGAAGAAATACAAAAACCCGAATTAAAACCATTAATTACTATAGTTTTTAACGTATTAAATTTCAAAATTTTCCTCGGACAGTAAAAACCTGTGCGAAGGAGAGACCCTGAGGCCTAAAATGTAAGCGACTTTGGTGTAAATCGGTAGAGCTTCCGATGGATCACTGGTTTTGGTATTCCGATAGAGCTTTTTGCCACAAGTTACGGTTTTTATGCAACCTCGAATCATCCCAACTGTTTCTTTCGTAGAACTCAATTCAGCCACCTGTTTGATTACCAAAACGAAAGGCTAAAATGAGTGGGGGGGGGTTTCTTCTTTAAAGGGTAGTCATTTACATAAGGAGCAACAGCTAGAATAATAAGATTTTAGTAATGAAGGAAAAGGGTACCAGCATGAGAAAAGCAGGGGAGTGGCGAACCCGGCAAATAGGGTCACCCAAGAGGTCGGTAAAGAGAGAGAGTTTGCCGCCTGGGCCAACTTCGCAGCGTTTTTCGACTTCTTCCACGCTCGCTAAATCTTTCCTATGATCAAACTCTCGTACCACTATAACACACTCCTCGTCTCCCATTCTTTGTTCACACTCGCTGTGTATGTAGTGAAAAATGATGGGTTTTGGAGCAGTGGAGATGGATGCAAAACCAAACAAGGGTTTATAAAGGTGAAAACGCAGCTTTTCCAAGGTTAAAGAACAGGCTGGTGGATAACTTCTGAAACATGCAAAGAAGCAGAAGAGGAGAGGACAAAGCTTCGGGCTTGGAATCATATAGGAAAGACAAGGAAATTGAAGTATTTTATTGGGTTCGCCTCTGTACTAAAAGAGAGAAGAAACTGATAAGTTCATGGCCAGAGCAACAATTGGTTTGAAGCTGCCTTTAAATACTGATTTTTCGTTGGGGTTTTTTAAAAAATATTTTTAAGAGAATAAAGAAATAAAGGACTTTATCACTGGAAACCCCGAACCCTTTTCTTTTATGGTTTTTTATTTATTTAATTCAGTGCTTTTAAAAGTCCCTATCTCTTCGTCCCTCTTGTCTTTCTGCCTGTCTATATATCCAATCTCTCTCTCAAATTAGTAACAAAATATTATCATTTTTAAAAAGGGTTAAATGGGAGGGATAGAATATCAGGAGAAAGAAAAGGAATAATAATGAAAATTTTTATTATTAATCATCACAAAAAGAGTATAATGGAAATGGCGGCTATGGCTGCGCAGTCTTGTGAGTTTATTTATAATTTTTTATTTATTTTCCTCTTTTTGGTTTTAATCATTTAATTTCTACGGATGGAGGCGTTACCATCATGACCCCATTTGCAATCATTTCCTTTACTCTTTCATCTTCCCCATCCATCCATCCATCCATCACCATCATCATTATTATGAACATGATGAATATCATGAACATCTTTTCCACATACATAACCACTTTGTCATTTCACGGAAATGAATAATTTTTTTTATTTAGAGGATGTTTGTAATGAAACAATTCGACTATGAATAAAATCATTTAACGCTGAATGTTGAACCGTTCAGTATTCGGTGCGTTTATTTCTAACATCTAAATGATTCAATGATGACTGATTCAGCAAAACAATGCTGAATGATTCAGAGTCATTATCAAACAACATGTCACATTCAGAGCTTATTTATACAGAGCATCTGAATCATTCAGTATTTGAATCATTCAGTATTTGAATCATTTAGCGTTTAACCATTCTGAATAAACAAACAACCCTTTAGTTTATTTGAAATTTTTAGAATAAAAAAATAAAACATTTGAAATTCAATACATTATATAATTTTTTTGGTCCAAATCATTATATAATTCATACAGAACCTTTGAATCATTTAGCATTTGAATCATTTAACGCTTAATCATTCTGAATAAACAAACAGCCTCTTAGTTTATTTGAAATTTTTAGAATAAAAAATAAAACATTTGAAATTCAATACATTATATAATTTTTTTGGTCCAAATACATTATATAATTATTTAATGATATTATTTTTAAATCTATTAATAGATGTTAGTGATGAAAGAGGTTTTATTTTTCTTTGAAGTCGAATTCAAGTAACTATATTTATAGAGTAGGTATATAAAGAAATTTATAACTATATATTGTTTTATAATTATTTTAAATTTATAAAAATATTAATTATTTCTTTAATATATTAATACAATTAAAATCTATTATGACACTAGATAAATAAATGAATTAATTATTAAAATATAAATTTAAACTTAAACACTCAAATTTTGAAGGTTCTAACCTTCGTTAACACAATCATATTGTAAGTAATTTTCAATCGGTTAATTAAGCGGGAAACGGGCAACGTGGCGAGATGGGAACCGTTAATCACGGGGGAATGAGGCAACCCTGATATCGGCCGTTCGAGCGAAGTGGACCGACTCTGCATAAAACGGTTTTTTATTTTTCATCAAAAGAATAACTGCTGCTTCATCTACATTGTAGCGTAGATTGGATTTTTCGATCAATATCGGTTACCCTCAATCTCTTTCAATTTGATGAGAACCCAGACCGACGGTCGCGATGGCTCCCCTCACTTGTAGCTAGATTCTTCACACTGCCATTACCTATAGCCTAAAAGCCTAACCTCTCTTATGCTTATTAGGTTTCAATCAATTACATTCTCATTTGTTAATATTTTTGGTGTTATTAGTTATGGTAATTGTTTGAATAATTTTAAATTTTCTGGAGGGTTTATAACTAAAATGTCCGTATAATATTTAATCTATTATTTTACATGAACACATGTCTGTCCCAGTTATGAGAGTAAAAGAACGGCATTAGAGTACTGATTAACAAACCACATAATAATATAATGATTAACCTTGATCAAGAAGTTTGTTACATTTAATTTATTGTTTTCACTCGGTCAAAAAATTGATTAATAAATCATGTTTGAATCACTTTATTCGGTACTACAACACGTTAGTTACAGTTTAGTTTTTTTTATGTGACTATTTAAAGATACAAGTTTCAATTATGATGAAAGTACTGATAATAATAAATTCATTTCATTATTAATAGAAAAATAGCTTATTGAAAATGACCTAAAATTATTTAAGATTTAATCAATTTAAAATGAACAGTTGGGGGAGAAGGGAAAATGAGAGGAAAGTCGGTGACAAGCCATGTGAAGTTAAAACCAAGTATCCTAAGCTTGGGAGTTATAAAATAATCTTTTTTTTTTAAATATATTCGTAAACTTTTTTTTATCGAGAAAATGTATATTGATATACTAGTAATCTATTTTAATTTTACATTGTAATTATTTTATGGACCCTAATCTGATGGATCATGTTGAAATATATATATATTGAAGGATCATGTTGAAATATCTATGGGGGCTAGTTGGGGTTTGGCATGTGATTATGGGGAGTTGATTTTGACTCATCTCCGATGGTAAACTAGCAATAATTGCAGCCAAATATATATACTTTTAATTAAGATTAATGAATAAAATTAAAGGTTTTTTCACTTTTATCTATAATAATATGAATTATATTTGATACATTATCAGAAAAATAATTTCACAAATAATTTTAAGACCATGATAAGCTTATATTTATTTGATTTTAAAAAAAATTTAAAATACTTAAAAACATATGTCATGATCTTACAACCGCTTATGAAATAGAAAGAGACTCTTCAATAATTTTCCCTAAAGTCTTTGTGAAATAACCTTCTACCTGAATATATGAACACAGAGGAAAGCTGATTAAATGGCATTAGCCTAATTAAATTGGTTTATTATGTTAAAAGAGAATAATTGGATTGGTTAATTAAAATCAATTAACTAAAAATGAAGAGTCGCTATATTCCCTATTTAATCAAACATAGTTAGGTAGTTAAGACAAATAAAGTATATTTGTACCCGTAACTCTCTAATTAAAATAAGTCGCTAAAACGCAAAATCATTTCCTTGTCTCCAATGCGAACACGTCACCTTCTTAATATAATAATCTAACTCTCCTTTCATTATGAAAAGGCCAAATTACACAAATTGAAATCCTTAAAATTGTAGGGATTACGTCTGGTTGTGATCTGATTTTTTTAAATTTTTTTTATTAAATTGAGGTGATTATAAAATAATATTTATTTTAAATAATTTTAATTATTTGATAATAAACGTTTAATCATCTTATTGCAATTGTCGATACTTAAATCTAAAATCTCTAAAAATAACAACTATTTTTAGCCGTAAAAATAATTTGGTTCGTGTCTGATTTTAAGTTTATATGTCTATCTCATATATGCATCTTAAAGTTTGTTAATTTTCATATACTTTAGTCATATTAACAATTATATATTTTTATCATTATTATTTTTTAAAAAAAATAAATAAATCTAAAAAAAAATCACTCATTTAAATTAATAAACTAATTATATTGGTTATTGTATCTTTTTTATTAATAAAAAGGGTAAACTACATAAATGACCACATAACTATGGGACAAGTTGCGAAATGACCATCATTTTCAAAATTGTGACAATATACCACTGAACTATTTAAATGGGTTCAAAATGGCCACAAGACGTATAATTAGGACGCGGGTCCTTGTAAAGTTACAAATTTGCGTCACTGGCAGCCTACTTTGTTTTCTTCCATGTTGGTCACTACTTGTATATGATTTGTTTCCTTGGATTTTCATTTCACCCAATTTGATCTTGATTTTATTTTTTTTAATTTGTCTAATCCCTTAATTTGAGCATTAACATTAAAATCTTTTATTCTAGTCATGTATTAAATTTGTAGATTAAATCCCCTAGATTTTAGAATTAATCAATTTGATCACAAAGATTAACTTTAATTCTTAATTTTTAATTAGGTCCTATTTTCAATTTAATTTAATAAATTTATTTCTCCAATCAAATTGTGACATGTGTCAAAATGGTATGATTTTAGAAAATATTCTTTTTCCATTAGTTTTTTTGGTAATAGTTGAAGGCAAGGAAAGTTCGTCATCTCTACTATTGTGCTACTGTAGGTCATCATCTAGTTGTTGTATCTTGGGAGACAGACGACCAAAAGATCTCGATCACAAAAAAGTGACTGTAATTTGAAATCAAATACGCTCTTCCTAAAGACCACTTTAATCGAGATCAACTGATCTGTAATCTGGTCGACATTAAACACCAAGTCTTTCTTCTATATGACCCAAATACGCCCATTAACAGCATACGAATAATTTGATATCAAACACCAATCTTCAAAATTATTCCTACAAATATCCAGCATCTTACTCTCTTTAACTCTTGTCTCCTGAAGATAGATAACATCCACCGGTAAGCTATTAATCCTTCTCAACACCGCTTCTTGTTTGGAGGGGCATTGAACCCCCTTACATTCCAAAAACAAATTATCATTACAACGAGGATGAACTTCCTGCCCCATCCATCATACCCCCAATACCTTTTTTACCTGTGTCAAGATGCTCCTTCTTCTTGGCTTTCATCTCGTTATGCAAAGTGGCAACACTCAGCGCAACAGCCCTTGGCTTCTTAGAATTCGACTCAGAGATTACTGCATCCTGGTAAACTAACTCCAAAGCGTCAAACTTATTCTTAATCGCAATACCTACGTTGCTCCAATTCCTAACAAGTTTCCCTTTACTTCGGAAAGGAGGTGGAGGGCAATTGCCGTCCTTCGACACAGCGCCTAAAGGAGCACCAACAATTTATTTTTGATTACCGAGAAGCGAGGCCTCCATAGCCACAACACCTAAAGGAGCACCAATAGACTACTCTCCATTAAGAGGCGAAGCAATCACGTCTTTTCCCTCAAAATGTAAATTATCCACTAACTTTACGTGTG